TTATAGGCAGGAGTCAAGAGAGGAGCTAATGGAGATGAGCGATTCAGTGGTAGTCTCAGGGCTTATTGAGTGTGTCAGGGCTTCAGGAGCTACAAATGATGAATGGTTGGGCGGTTTGTTTAAGGTAAAACAGTGTTACACCAGAGATACACCAAATAAACACATCGCTTGGCCAATATTTGCACTTTACAGCATATCAGCTTATGAGCTTTAAACGTGCACTGTGTAACTTTTTTGGTAGAGGGTCCACCACCAGCTTGACTCCACGTTCTATTTTCCTGGAACGTTCTACAGTATAGCATTAAAGTAAATTATCTCCATGGAGACGTGCAAGCCACCATCACCAGGCCAAATTACAGGCCAGTTCTGTGGAAAAGTAGGTCCGTGTACAGTAATAATGCAGTTCTTTGCGGTAGTTTTGAAAAATAAAAACATCTGTAATTGGATAAATTCAAGATATATTTGTATCATGCCATACTGTGGAGCAATAGCCAGGCTGGTGCCGCCTAGTGCCTCCACTCAATTTCATTTCTCTCCAGTGACTAGGTCAGGAATCAGAATACACTAGACGGTTCGCAAAAACCCGGACATGCGAGTTCGGGAACCAGACAATCAGTGAAGAGCCATATATTCTGTGTTGGTAGCGATTCCCGAGATTGAGGATTTAAAGCCGGAACAAAGAAAATTTTATCAACGGGAAAGACGTTATTGTTCTTCTTCTTCTGGGATTTGGGAAAAGCTTAATATACCAGTTAACCCCATTAGCGGCGCATTACATACATCACGACCAAATAGCAGCGACTGGTTACATTTGAAAAAACTACCCACCTACTGTCGAGCGAATGAATCCTAATGCTGTGAGGTCAGACAGTTTCCACAAAGTGAAACCGGCTGATTATTCCACAGTAGGCAAAGTTACACAGTGCCTTTAAACGTGCACTATGTGATATGTTCCACAGTATGTCATTAAACAGCTCAACTTTACATTTATTAAATCACAGGTGGTTTATAGTTCAAAAATATATACTCAGGCATTCTGACAGTGAGTGGGATTGCCTCTCCACAGATCTGATGTGTAACTTGGTCTAGTTTGGTCTCCATGAAAACAGAAAGGTTTAATACCAGACTGTTAAATATTTTCATATGCAGGAAAAATATATGCATAAAGTTTTATTAGAGCACTTACGACTGAAGAGGGTACTGCAAAAATGTGACTACACTGCTCTCTACAGTTTATAGTAAAACAAGGTTGAGTTCATACTGGACAATTTGGGGGAAATGACCAAAAAGAAACTCAAGAAAAAACTACAAAATGGCTTTAAACAGCACATTTTCAGGAGCCTGTGATCAATCCGAGTGTCCACGGTCCTGTTTAGGTGTTTGATTCTCAACAAAAAGGTGAGAGTGACTAACTGAAAAACTGTTGGCTGATGCTAGCTGTGACTGTAATTTTATGTGTGAGAAACTTGTTTAACAGCACAAATCTGCTGCAGTTCCAGCTAAGTCAGCTCTTTACGGTCAGATAAAGCGTTAAATTCAAGCTGAGATAAACGCTAAGTTGAGTAACAGGGCTTCATACAGAACAGTGCGTACAGTTAGCAACTCACCCCCGGAGAATATTGATGACGTCAGCTGCAAGCGATCAATTTCAGGGTTCTTTGTAATGTTGGCTCTTTGTATACAAGCTTAAGTTCAATAAGTGCTTTTCTAATTCTCCAACATACAAGTCATCACATCACTATTATTATAACGTCTATAATAGAAACTACTTCTTATACATCTACTTAAACTACTATTGTACCTCTGATACAATAACAATAATGCAAAGTAATCCCAGTGAACCATTAAAACAGACAGTATCATTCAAAAGGCTTGAGCTGCAACAAATATATAGCAAGAACCAATAATTATCCATAGAAATCAGGTATTCAACCCTTTACACTGCAAAAACTAACATCTAGTCAACTTGAATTCATAAAGTTTGATCAGGATTTGAGACTTTTTGTACTTAAAATATGAAAATACATCTTGCTACACTGATTCTATCTTCATGGACACCAAACCAGACCAAGTTACAGGTCAGATTTGTGGAGAGGCAACCCCGCTCAGTCAGAATTTCTGTTTTTCTAGGTACTTTTGAGCTAAATGTACGTTTTTAGAGCTGTTAATGTCACACTGTGGAATATTCAAGGCACAGAAATGACATATTTATAGAAACAAGTAGTCCTAACCAAAAAGTCACACAGTGCACCTTTAAAAATGTGTTATTGCGACAGGCCTAGTACAAGTAAAACCTATGTTGTTCTAACCTGCAAAGTGAGTCAGTGTGCAGGGGTCAGAGCTGGGATCAAAAGTTACCATAGTGATTTCTGTCTATTATGGGCTGCACACCAGAGCGGGAGCAGGGGCCAAAGTCACACAAGGGCTATTTTTGAGAACAGTGCAACAACAAATATGTCATCTACAGGAAGCCGGGCCGGACAGGCAGATCAGCTGAATCACAACACGGACTTCTGCGAACTGTCATAGTGACTGTTCTGAGCTGAATCAGTAGAGAGATGAATGGCTCATACAGCGAGTTCTGACAGTTTTTAAATACACCGGAGGATAATGAGACTATTGTGGCATGCTGTATACAAGTTATGGTTAAAGGTGCACTGTGGAATGTTCCATAGTATGACATTAACCACCTCTGCCTTACATTTACTCAATTACAGGTGGATTTATAGCTCAAAATGACAATCTGATTTTGAGAGCCTCTTGTTTCTTTAGCGCTGCTGAGTGGAGCCCTTGCTTGGAGTAATTGATCCTGTTCAGAGCGAGAGGGAGGAGGGGAGTCGTCAAAACAGAAAGTGCACTGTTAGCATGCTAGTTGTTGTTAGCTTTACCATTTCGTTTTGTTTTATTCACAAGCGTTTGAGCAACCCTTTATTATGAGTCTGTCTGCATCTCCAAAGCTCAATATGCACTGTTCCACCTTGCGATGTCATGCAGTATACAACTTATGGTTAAAGGTGCGTTGTGCTATGTCATTGTACTGTCTAGAATGTTCCACAGTATGACATTAAACTCTCTCTACCTTATAATTATTCAATTACAGGTGGATTTATAGCTCAAAATTACTTCTTTAGCGCTGTCGAGTGGAGCCCTTCTTTGAGTAATTGATACTGTTCAGAGCAAGAGGAGGAGCTGTCAAAGCAGAAAGTGCACTATTAGCATGCTAGTTGTTGTTAGCGTTACCATTATGTTTTGTTTTATTCACACGTGATTGAGTAACCTTTTATTATGAGTCTGTCTACATCTCCAAAGCTCAAAATGTACTCTTCCACCTTGTGATGTCATGCAGTGGTTGTTAACAGTTACTTTTTATCTTTAGTTCCGGATAGAGCGGCAATTACAGCGCTGAATTTATCCAAATGATTCTAGTGAAGGTGTAATGAATTTAAAGACACAGTGGTGCACTTTCTGTCTTGCCTAGAGATGTAACGATATCCAAGTCTCACGATACGATATTGTAACAGTATGAACCTCACGGTACAATATTTATTGAGATATCGTGGGAAAGCTCACGATATGGTGTGGAGGCTCACGATTAGGGATGTAACGATCAAAACAAATCTCGGTTTTCACAATATACATCTCACGGTACGATATTTATTGCGATATTTTGTGGAGGCAAACAAAACTGTTAATATGCTACTTTTTCCTCTTACAATGCCTTGACAAGACTTAATCTAAAGAACTAAGACTTAAAAGTGCTTAGAACTGTTATTTCTTCTTGTAGTCTGCATTGAAACGAAGCAAAGGATCATGGTCTATGTAGTTCCTTCTGTCTTTTTTGAGTTATTGCTGCACCATACCTCTTAATTTAAGCAAAGAGTGAGAACTTTGACGACACGATACCATGATATTTCGGTTGTTGTTACATCCCCAGTCTTACCACATGATATCATTTAGAAAACCAGGTATTCGGACTGTGAGCGGGGTCGCCTCTCCACAGCTCTGTCCTGTAACTTGGTTTGTTTTGGTCTCCATGAAGATGAAAAAGAACGATCTAACACCACACACCGAAACATCGCACATAAAACAATAAGATCTCCACGGAAAAAAGCGTTTGACGGACGCTTCCACCAGAGAAGTCGCACGATGCACCGTTAGTACTACAAATGTAAGAATATTTCTGCTATGTCATGTCAGTTCTTCATAAAGACACTCACTTCTGCAGGAAAAGTCACTAACAGGCTGTAGATGGTTTACTACCACACACACTTTCCCCAAGTCGTCCGTGTCTTGTTATTTACATGGCCTGTCACTTGTGAGGAGGAGTGATGCTGATGGGTTAGGAGGCTGCTAATCCACTCTACCGCTGTCATTAGAGAGAAGCAAACAGACTATTACCACCTCCTCCTCCTCCTCCTCCTTCACTGCACTCATCATAAAGCCACACACACACACACACACACACTAGCACGGGCACAGCTGCGGAGGAGAGAGCCTCTTGTTTCTTTAGCGCTGCTGAGTGGAGCCCTGCTTGGGTAATTGATCCTGTTCAGAGCAAGAGAGAGGGAGAGGGGGGGAGAGAGAGTGAAGAGAGAGAGAGGGAGAGAAGAGAGAAAGAGAGAGACAGAGGGGAGGAGAGACGGGAGAGACTGAGGCAGAGGGAGGCCTTAAGTGTTGTCAGTTTGCTGCATTAATTTTTCAATCGCGGCCGGAGCGAGGAGGGGCCCACCGCAGAGCTCGTTCACAGGGACTACTCTCACTGCATATACAGTCTAATCACACTATTTTGCTTGATTAAGGCCTGTAACTCGATTTCTTCGGAGCATATCCATCACGGCCTAATCTACAGGTCTCCACGTGCTGATATTAGGGCAAAATGTTTGATATAATATACTGCATTTTCACTATACTGGAGGTGATTAAAGCAAGTTAGTGCAACAGTTTTTATGTTAAGGTTGTTCTTAAGGAGTGTCCTAAAGCGTTAAAGCTGTTGTACCTACTTTTGTCATGTCTCAGGGTCAAACTAAGGTCGCCGTGTCCTGTCTGCATTGAATTATAGAGCGTTTTATCTAGAAAAACAGAACAAAACAAAACACAAATCAGAAAGTGCACTGTTAGTAAGCCAGTTGTTGTTAACTTTAACCCTTTATTATTAGTCTGTCTACATCCCCCCAGAGCTTGAAATGCCCTTGTGATGTCATGTAGTGGGAGTTAACAGCTACCTTTTAAATTTAGGCCCCATCCACACTAGTACATATTCGAGTCGTTTTCGTTGCGGATGCAGTGTTCGTCCCCACTAATCTGATGGAAAACGGCTCCAGAGACAGAAAGATCTGGTGCTGCCAGCTCCCACGAATTCATCTGAGTACTGATCCGATCCAGCACTGTGTGGATGCCTGAAAGCTTTGATACGTACATAGGTCTATGCGCCGCAAAGTAATTCACCGTCAAAACACCAAGAGGCTAGAATATATGTCGAATCATAAATACCGTCTATGCGTATCTCGGAAAAGTTTCACACGAACCATCTCCAATGTGATAGAAGCACAGAACAGACTCACCATGAGCAGAACATCCCTCTGTCACAAAAAGAACACATATAATTCACTGAGTCATGTCCTTTAGTCCGACAGAAGCTGAATCACATCAGCGCACAATAGCGAGGTGTTTTGAGAGCTCAGTTTATGCAAATTAGCCATGTGGTTCTACGTTTAGTTTCTGTAAAATGTAAACAAATGCGCAAAGCTGTGTGTGGATAGGGAAGGCTTGCGGACAAAGAAACAACGTGTCTTGTTGCAAATCATTTCCGATACGGTGATAAGGTGATTCGTTTCAGTGTAAACGTATCCTTAGTTCTGTGGAGATCAGCATTTCCAGGGCTGAAATTATATGATTCTAGTCAAGGTTTATTGAGTTTAAAAACATGGTGGAGCACTTCCTGTCTTACCACATGACATCACAAAGTGGAACAAAGCATTTTCTGTTTGAGAGAAGAGCTAAAAACTGCCTAAATATGCAGGATTTGTGAGTTAAACATGTGTGAATGAAACAAAACACAACACTAGGTCTGTTTGTGATAAGGAAACAACATTATAAAATATAGAAGATATGTGTCCTTTAAAAATAATTTGACCTTTCCTGAGCAGTCGTAGAATGAACTTGAACTTTATTACATAGTTAGAACAGTGATTTACCCTTTAATAACATTTGTAATTGCAGTTTGTCTTCCGGACCAGTGATAATTTGAGCTTTTGGTGTTTATTTGTTGTGAAAAAGTGTGAATCTTTTCCCCCTCGCTGTGAAGTCACCACCAGAATGCTACTTTAAGATTCTCAGCCCTCGCCGGTCTTGTTTTTTTAAAGTCTTGCCCTGATCTTCATTTGTATTCAGGGGGAGATTTCCAAGAGTTCCATTTCTTACGACATCAGCTGAGTTATTCAAATGCGGCACATCTGACTGGAGAGGATAACATAAAGAAAGGCATCAGCAGAAATGGCAGCAGGCAGTAATCCCCCCGGCCGGGCCACTTGTGCTGGGCGTGCGGGCAGGAGACAGACAGAGGAGAGAGAGGGAGAGAGGGAGGGAGAGAGGGAGGAGAGAGAGGAAGATAGGCAAGTGGAGGAGAGAGGAAGATGAGGAGACAGGGAGAGAGAGGAGCAGAGAAGAGAGGGAGGAGAGACAGGCAAGGGAGAGAGTAAGAGGAGAGATTGAAGAGAGAGAGGGGAGGGAAACAGGCGGGAGTGGGAAAGGACAGAGGGAGGAAGAGAGGGAGAGAGAGGGACAGGAGAGAGGAAGGGAGAGAAGTAGAGGAGATAGGGAGGGGAGAGAGAGAGAGGAACAGAGGAAGAGAGATGCAGAGAGAGGTAGAGGAGAGAGGCAGAGAGAGAGGAGGGAGAAAGAGGTAAAGGAGAGGTAAAGGAGAGAGGAGAGAGGTAGAGTGAGAGGCAGAGAGAGAGAGGCAGAGAGGTAGAGGATGAAGGTAGAGGAGAGAGATAGAGGAGAGAGGCAAAAAGAGGTAGAGAGAGGTAGGAGAGAGGGAGGCCCATGCTGTCAGTGCTAGCCCCTTATAGGAGTCTTATCAGTGGCAGCCGAGGCACTGGGCTAATCACACTGCTGATGCTGATGCTGCAGTGAGGCAGACACACAGAGAGAGGAAGAGCACAGGACCTGGGTTCAGTCGCTCAGAGAGAGCACACCTGCTACACTCCGCAGTGAAGCCTCTAACATACAGCACTGACGGTTTTATGGGTGGGGTTGGCCAAAGCAGAGGAACTACTGCAAATGACCTTACACCAAATGATTATTCTTACACAGGCTTTATGTAACGTGTCTACTGGTCAAAGGAGAAAACAAGTATTGAAGGTAAATTAAAGGTTTTGTGAGGTTTAATCCGTGTTAGAATGTTGTTATGTCTTCAAAAACATGCCTGGAGTTGAGTTTTGTTTCAGTCACACGCTTCAGTAACCACTAAAAACATGTACAACAGGGACCAGAGGTGGGGAAGTGGTGATTTAGACTCGAGTCAGACTTGAGTCACTATTTTTAGGACTTTAGACTTGTTTTAATAAAATAGACAAAGACTTGGGACTCGACTTGAACTTGAAGGTCAATGTCTTGGGACTTGACTCGGACTTGAGAAGACTTGATGCTTCTCCTAAAAAAATATATGTTTTTAGAAAACACTTTTCTCTTTACAGTTGATACATGCGGTGCTGAATTTTACAGGAACAAACTGAAACATGTTCCTCCCACTTCTCTATTTGTTATTTTGGATGTAACTGAAGTATTGATATGGCATCATCAAATGTACTACAGTAATATTCAGCACAATACATTAAAACAGACAGAACTACATGACAAAATAACTGTTATTTAGCACTTTTGAGTCTGAATTCTTTCTGTTCTGACCATAATGATTAACACTTGTCAAGACATTTAAAAAGGAAAAAATTAATAAAAATTTCTACAACTCTTACGTAAATATTCATTTATAACTATACCATAACTTTTGAAGAACAATTTAGTTTGAAATTCATATAAAAAGCAAAAATCTAAGCTCTATTTGGGACTTTGGTTTAAAGACTTATGGGCCAGTGACTTCAGACTTGACTTGGACTTACTTGTATTTGACTTGGGACTTGACTCGGACTTGAGGTCAAAGACCTGAGACTTTTAAGACTGGCAAAACAACGAGTTGGTTCCACCTCTGATAGGATCTCCTGTGGGGTCATGACTCCCTTGAAAAAAAATTCTCAATCTTAACGAGACTATCCTGACTAAATAAAGGTCAATAAACTCTTTATCATTCTGTATAATCTGACCCTGTAATACAGAGCCTTTAATTGTTTTATTGAGATTGGGGCTGATAAAAGTACAATAGGTTCTGTCACTCAAGTACATAATTTATTGAACTCTTTCTTCAAGTGGACATAAAAAAAACTGTATATTTAAAATACTGACTGTGCAAATTTCCAACTTCATCTGACCATGAATCTGGAGACGGGTCCCTGTTCACTATCCACCGCTCCTCTTCCCCTACAGTGGCATTCTGGTGGGTCCACTGATACACAAAATGGCAATACACAACCACCTTTCCAAACACACTTTCACTGGGGTGCTAACAACTCTAACCTATGATCAAACGAGTGAACTATTAAAATTCATGGCGTTTACTCTTGTGGTTTTTGAGTACAACACACAGGTGGGCTCCGGTGTCATCACAGGCTCCATTGTTGGCCCTGATGCCCTGTGTATCTGACTCCTGCATCATTATCGCCATTCTCAAAGGTCAAGTACAGTGCTGCCAGCTCTTCTTGTGTGATTTATGTCGTCCTGCTATTTCCTCTGTTCACGATTCATCTCATCTGTAAATCGAATCATGGCGGTGAGGCTCTTGGGGCAGGAGCAATGGCTGACAGGAAGTGGCTTATGTAAATATAGTGCTGTTGACACAAGATGGGCAGAGGAGAGTGGCTGGCTGTTCCTATGAGACGCAAGCATTATGCGCCGATAAGCATTAGTTAGTTAGTGGTACGTTTCGTTTTTTCCCCTCCAGTATTTTTGATATAATGAGAAGAAATACTAAATAGAGTTGCCATGGTAACACAGGCAATATGATATGTGATTATAATGACGTTTTAAAGGTCCTATATTACACAAAATTGACTCTTGTGAGCTTTAAGTCATGTTATAATGTTGTTGCCTTATCAAAAACACACTCAGAGTTGTGTTTTGTTTCATTCACGTGTTTGAGTATCCCTTTATTATTAGTCTGTTTACATCTCCAAAGCTCAAAATGCTCCGTTCCACCTTGTGCTGTCATGTTATGGTAGTTAACAGCTACCTTTTACCTTCTATTTAGTAGAGATTGACAATTCCAGGGCTGAAATTATCCAAATGATTCTAGTGAAGGTGTATGAAGTTTAAAAACACAGTGGAGCACTGGCTGTATGACTACGTAACATCACAAGGTGGAACAGAGTTTTCAGTCTGAGAGAAGAACACAGCCTAAATATGCAGGGTTTGTGTGTTAAACATGTGTGAATGAAACAAAACAAAAAAAATTAAGTATGTTTTTGATGAGGTAACAACATTAAACATTTATCAGAAAATAGTCCTTTAAACAAAAAAAGTTTCATATATCATATTTCATATACTATACTACATACTTGCACATAAACTATAAGGTTTGTTGTTGCATAAGTCTTTGTTGTTGTCATTTTGTTGTTGCCATTAAATTGTCCCCTTAAAAAATGTAAAAAAAAAAACCCAAAAACTTACATACTTACTTGTACTTTAATATATTTTATAATAATATGAGTGTAAAGTAAGAGATTCTGGCATGCACAAACTGTACACACTTGTTGCAACATCTGCTATTTATCATAGGCAAATGTACTATGTATTGTGTAGCCGTACTGGAAAGTGTAAAGCACAGACACAGACAGGCTCCATTTGTAGTCAATGAGTAACTCCTATTGACACCAGTAAATTATGGTGTCACTCGTATGACGCAAACGCACTGTGGCCGAATGGGTAGGCTGGCAGGCATTCTTGCTTAAGCTAATAA